ATCAGCCCCTTGCCGTGCTCCTCTGTGCTGGAATTGATCCATTCCCCTTCGCTCCCCACTTTCTTTCACTTTCAGCATCATCCAAGACTGGATTTTCTTACAAACTTACCTTCCCCAGCTACATAACCTCACACCCGCGTTAGCCAGGGAAAGCATGCTTATTCCCCCACCCTTTAACCTCTTCCCACCCGCAGCCACGTCCCTCTCATTAACACCACCACTCTCGCAGTAGCACCGCACCCTCCTTTTCCGCAGCCCTCACTAATTGTCACCAAATCCAGCCCCACAACTTAGCGGTGAATCTAAGACCAAGACGGGTTCCTCAGTTCCTGGGGCTCCGCTGGCCGAACCCGGCCGCTCCCGGGAAGCAGGGATAGTGGCAGTGGGCATCCGTCGCCGCCCCGGCAGCATCTCCTCCACCGATGATTAGGTTCCCTAATAACACAGAAATGGAGGGTACCGGCTGAAAAGGAATCGTGTTTAGATTAAAATTTTAAAAATAATTTTCCTTGTTTGTTTCCGGGAAGAAGCTCGTTTTGGGGGTGAAACATAGAACAGCATTGTGCAATTTCAGGATTTTTCTTCTTTATAACTTCAGTTTTTTAAATTTACGCTCAGCAGGGTTTTTTTTTCTTTTGTTGTTATTATTATTTCCTCTAATAAGATGATACAGGAAAATAAAGGGGAAACTGGAAAGGAACAGCAACAAGGCAAAGATAGTTTTTGCAACAGAGTTTTAGTGTTTCTGTTAAAACCCGGGTGAAATGGGAAGCTGGAGATCGGGATGAATTTTCACGCGCCTTAATTGATGCTAAAAGCAGCAGAAACCGGAAAACCAGTCCGTTCCGCTCCGTTGTAGCTGTTTATACTCTGCTTGGTTCCCTCTGTTGAGCTCCGCGGTGTCCCGAGGGGAATGGAAGACGCCCCGGAAGGCAGCGGGCGCGAAGTTCCCAGGCAGCGGCTGCCCGCAGCCGTTCTTTGCTGGCTTCTCCGATGGAGCTGCACCTCCTCGAGTTTTGTTTTTTCCACCTGCTTAATCACATTTAAATATCTTTCCTATTGTTCTGGCATAGAACTGTTGCTGCAGTTGCCATGGGAATGTTATGACAACACTGAGGGGATGCCCGCATGGTTAGGGGAGGCAGAGGTGTCCCCTCGACCGGAGGACAGGGGAAGTTTGCATGCCCTGGGAAAGGCTGCGCTCCCCTCTATGAAACTATCCTGGGAGAGGGAGATACCTGGGCTCGGTCCCTCCGCCGGGGACCGGAGAGAAGAGATATCAGGGACTTGGAGCGAACGGAGGGCGGTGGAACGGTAAAAAGCCGCTTTTCACCCGAGCGGTGTC